AACTCCTTTCCTGCTCCAGAGAGCAGCTGTGTTCCTTTCCCCAGGACCCTGGTGGCTTATAGTGGCTTGTGGTTTGCAGAGCGCTTCCAGGTGGGTGATGGGTACACCGCAGGCCGTGTGCCCCCCACGGCTCCTCGGCCCCTGGCCCTCAGTCCTCTTCTGTGAAATGGAAGATAGCACAGCGTCCACTCAGAACGCTGCCCGGAGCGTTGGCTGTTACGACAGGGCTGGTGGCTGGCATTCCGTTCGCGTTCAGTGCCTGATGCTTAATAATACACAGTCATTAATCGTAGGAACTGTGCACTGCGTGTAAAACTTCCCTTCGCCTTCCGGGTGAGGAGGGCTCTGGAGCGGCCGCCTGCGGTGGGAAAGGCCAAGTTTGCCGGCCTTGCCTGTGCCCCCGGCTTCTCCTGCAGTTGAGGGACCAGCCCACAGAAGACAGAGCCCAGGGGCTGGGAACCGGGCGTTTTGTTCTTGAGGGAGGATGGCCAGCGCCTCCTGGCCTCGCACACAAGCCTGGCTTTGGAGCCGGCAGACCTGGCCTCCGGGACCACCAGCTGGGAGAAGCTGGCCTGCACCCCCTTAGCCCCTGAGCCGGGGCGCCTGCTGGGAAATGTGGGAGCGGCACCCGGTCAGGGGCGCTGAGGCCTCCAGGCACAGCTCCAGGTCAGCACACAGTAGGGCCCTTGCCCCTGACTCCCCCCCGGGAGCCTTTTCTTCCTTAACCACATCTACCACCACTGGGTAATTTATACTTTTATGTATGTATTTTAGTTATTTGTTATTTTCTGTGTCTTCCCACTACAATGTGCCCTGCATATAGAGGGACCTGGCCCTGCTCCTTTTTTTTTTTTTTTTTTTTAATGTTTATTTGTTTTGAGACAGAGAGGGCAGGGGAGGGGCAGAGAGAGGGAGAGAGAATCCTAAGCAAGCTTCGTGCTGTCAGCATGGAGCCCGGGTGGGGCTCGATCTCATAAACCCTGAGATCATGACCTGAGCCACATCAAGAGTCGGACACTTAAATGACTTGAGTCCCCCAGCACCCCCTGCTCCCTCTTGTATCCCCAGCTCTTAGGGAAGTGTCTAGAACATCCTCAGTGGCCAGTGAATGTCCGCTGACTTGTGAAAATCCCTTAAAGCTGCACCCACATGCCTACCCATCCCAGACTCCTACATGAGGGGCCCTCAAACACTTCATTGAGCTGAATTAAGAATATGACGGACCCTGAATCACATGCTTTTGTTTTGTTTAGTTTCCCTTCCCTGAGATGTGTTGACAATAACCACAGCGCATGTACTTCTGGGGCCAATGACATTTACTGTAAATGTTCTTTAAAAATAAAGTATCGGATGGGGCACCTGGGTGGCTTAGTCGGTTAAGCGTCCGACTTTCACTTAGGTCATGATCTCGCGGTTCGTGGGTTCAAGCCCCGCGTCGGGCTCTGAGCTGACTGCCAGCTCAGAGCCTGGAGCCTGTTTCAGAGTCTGTAACTCCCTCTCTCTCTGACCCTCCCCTGCTCACGCTGTCTCTCTCTCTCTCTCTCTCCTAGAAATAAATAAAACATTAAAAAAAAAATTAAAAAAAAAAGTATCGGAAAATCACTCTACTTTCAGCACATTAGGAAGAAGGTTTCCATTCCCATTCAGGTTTTCAAGTTCAGTGCTTTTTCTGACGTGTGCCACCTTGCTTTCGGTGAAATTCTGAGTCGTGAGTGTCACAAAAATGTAGCCATAGGGGCGCCTGGGTGGCTCAGTCAGTTAAGCCTCTGACTTCGGCTCAGGTCAAGATCTCACGGTTTGCGAGTTCAAGCCCTGAGTCAGGCTCTGTGCTGACAGCTCGGAGCCTGGAGCCTCCTTCGAATTCTGTGTCTCTCTCTTTCTGCTTCTCTCCTGCTTGCACTCTGTCTCTGTCTCTCTCAAAAATAAATATTTAGAAAGTATTTAAACATGGCCGTAGTGCTGTGTGTGGCATCGCGGGGCACTCCCTTTCTCCTTGCCCTCAGTGTCCCCTTATAATTAAGGAACTGGGGCTCAGAAATACCAAGTGACAACCTGCCCAGTCTCATAGGCAGAAACTGCCTCAGCTAGAATTTAAGTGTTCAAGGGCCATGCCTTTCCATTGACTTCTCTGAGGCATCGTGATGAGATCTATCATTTGAAAACAATCCAGGATCAACTGGTAATAAATAACACGGTGCAACTCAAGAGACTGAAAGCACCGCCTTATTTCTGCTCCCAGGGGACCCACGGGACTGTCCTCCTCGTGACGCCCTGTGGGTCCAAGCAGGTCACTGATCCCTCCCTCTGGCAGATGCCACAACACATCCACTGTGCGTGATGCAGCCTGGTGGGCGCTTCTGGAAGCGGGTCCTTCAGAACCACCTGGCTGGCCTGGCACGTGCTTGTAGGCGATCCGCCCCCCGTCTCCTGGGTGATGAAGCCAGGCCATGGCGTGGTAAGGTCAGGAACTTGTCCCCTCCCCTCAGCTGCTGAAACATGACCTGAGTTTTGAAATTCAAGTCCATGAGGTATTTGGAGGCAATTGAAATGGATTTTTTGGAGGAAGTGGGCGGGACAGTTTTAATATTTCCTTTCCTTTCTGATGGCGTAAGCAATAAGGCTCATTGTTCGCCTGATTAAGAACAACACAGATTTTCTAAAAACATTAATTACTAGGGTGGGGGGGCAGTGAGATTTTTCCTTTTCTGCTTCTTTTTTTTTTTTTTAATTTCTATGTTTATTTACTTTGAGACAGAGTGCAAGCGGGAGAGAGAGGGAGACACAGAATCTGAAGCAGCTCCAGGCTCTGAGCTGTCAGCACAGAGCCCGATGCGGGGCTCGAACCCACAGACCATGAGATCATGACCTGAGCGGAAGTCAGATCCTTAACCCATTGAGCCACCCACGCACCCCTCCGCCTATTTCTTGGTAAGAACCAAGTAGAAAGACTAAATTCTCATAGGGGAGTGGGAGGGGCTTTCCCCCTTTTAAATCTACGTGTTTCTCACCAGAGAGCAGTTAGCTGAGGAGGAGAGATATTCCAACAAACAACATTTTAGGGTCACCTGGGTGGCTCGGTCAGTTAGGCGTCCGACTTTAGTTCAGGTCATCATCTCACGGTTTGTGAGTTCGAGCCCCGTGTCAGGCTCTGTGCTGACAGCTCAGAGCCTGGAGCCTGCTTCAGATTCTGTGTCTCCCTCTCTCTCTTTCTCTCTGTCCCTCCCCTGCTGATGCTCTGTCTCACTCTCCTTCAAAAATAAACATTAAAAAAATGTTAAAGCCTTGGACCCCAGTTCACAGATCTGCAGACCATGGATCAGAAACGACCCGGGATCCTCTGGACACGGGCATTGCCAATGCCAGGTTCTTGGCCCTGCTGTGCTGGAGACGCCCCTGACCTGGGGCTCCTCTGACCCTCAAGGCCCCCACCTGGGGCTAGGCCCTGGCACGCTCAGTCCAGTGTGGCAGAATCCCCACCCTTGATGCCGTCGCCTCGGCCTGCTTCGGCAAGAATTCCGTCGGGCTGGTCTGGCAAGAGCACGCCAGCCGTGATGTTTCTGCGCCCCAGCATCCCAGCATGCACCCGCCCTCCGCTGTCACCCCTTTTCCTTGTGTTCAGACTTGCACCCCATGCCTCCCTGACTGCAAAGACCACCGCAGGGACACCGAGCCACTGGCGGAAGGTTCCTGAATAATATCCATTTGACATTCTTCGACAAGCGTCACAGTAAGGTTGTCTTCAACAATTGTGGGTGGGGGAGAAGCTTCTTAGAAAGAGGAACGAATGCCAGAGAAGAAAGCGTTCTCTTGAAATCCCTCTTGCCTGTATGAGTCTTCACTGCATCCGTCTCTTTTCTGAAAAGCATATGTTTGACCCAGAAACCACGTTCGATGGCTCACATCCCAGATTTTCAGAGGGCCCTGAACTGGGGGCCCTTTGCCTGCACTGCTGTTGTGACCTGGGAAGGCTTGAGTGACCTCTCTGAGCCACAAACACATAAAGCTGGAATCCATCCAAAGTTTCTGGAAGCATCAGGGCTTCTGCTCGGGAGCATCAGCTGACCCAGGGCAGGGGAATGGTCTGGAAGCCAAGGGCTGTGATTATCTTGGCACGAAAGGAGCCCTGAGTCTCAGCTGGCCAAATATATGACCCAAACAACCAGGGTTTAAAACAACATCTTGAGAAGAGGGTGTCTGTTCAAGGGCTACGAAGCCAGGCTGTCCCAGAGGGGCCCTGCCCAAGCAGAGCCCGGGCTGGCCGGCCCAGTGGGGCACCTGAGTCTTCACAATTACTGGGGTGGGGCTGAGGCCCTTCCGGGGCCGGAGGCTGCTGCACCCAGAGACCCAGAACAGCACCCACAACAAAGGAAGTCAGTGCTGCGGAGGCTGAGATGACAAACCCGGGAAGCAGAGAGGCCGGGCGTGCCCAGTGGGGCTTCCCGCCGCCGAGCAGCTGTGTCCAGGCCCGTCCCCTGAGTGAAATCAGAAGGGGCTCAGCCGGCCTGAAGGACGGGGCGCAGCCCTGAGGAATGTTTCACTCACATCCGCAGAGAGACAGGGGCGCTTGGAATCCTTTGCTGAACCTGGGGCACTAACTAGTTTACGAACAGACTTACAGGCTCAGAAGTCGCCCTCCCCCCGCCCCCCACCCCAGCACAAAGCACAATGCGATACATAAATCAAACGTCTAGACATAGAAAGGGAAATAAAGTGCAGTGTGTGTAAGAGGTCAGGTGGAAGGTGATGGGGTGGGCAAGTCCCCGGGCGGCACGGCAGCTGGGCTGGTCCCCGAAACCGCCGGGCACTGAGAACCGACCTGAGTGTCCCCTCCGCTCCACTCGCCGCCCCCCCCCCCCGCGCGCCCGCAGGTGCACGTTTACAGGGAGAGGCAGGGCCGCCAGAACCCCGCCGGACCCAGTTCTCATTCGCCGCCCCCCGGCCCACCCCCCATAACTAAGTCAAAGCCCTCGTGAGGGAGCCGAGCCGGGCTCTCCACTCACCTCTGCAGGTTCCCGGGAACTGGGTGACCTCGCGTCTCTGGTGCCGGCCTGGCGCACGGCCGCCTCTGCCTGTGACAGTAACAGGTCTGAGTCACCGCGCTCGGACAGGGCGGAACAGCAGGCCTGCAGGGCGCGCGCGGGCCGGGGACGCCGTCCTCCCCCGCGGGGGCTGGCGCAGGGGCCCCGTGCCCACACCCGAGGCCTCGGCAGACCTGACCGTCAGGAGCCTGCCGGTCAGACCGGCCGCGAGACGCCACGCCCACGTGGGGCTCGGCCACGGCCCGCAGACCAGGCGTCACGTGTCTCCACCAGGTGCGTGGACACGCACGGAGCTCGACTTCGGCACACCGGCAAGAGGCCTTTTGCCCTTTTCTACCAATTAACGTTGCCCGGGAACGTCACTTAGCTCTGACTTCCAGGCATCCGGGAGCAAAATTCTTGTTAGCACACGACTGACAGAAGATAACGAAGCGGTGTGTGCTTGTGTTTGCAAATAGCAGGAAAACAGAGACTCCTCTTAGGGTAGTTACTGTGCTGTAGAAAACAGTACTACCCACGTGTATAACGCTTTTGTTTATAGTGTGTTTCATCCTCCCTGAGTACCTGCTCAAAGGAGATTAAAGTAAATAAATAAACGGGACCGTTTCTGTTCGCCTTGACACATTCATTTCAAAAGGGGCAGAGGCGTTGCTCTAAAATAGAATGTGTTCTGGGGGTTCCCCGGGGGGCTCGGTTGGTTAAGCATCTGACTGTTGATTTCAGCTCAGATCATGATCTCACAGTTTATGAGTTTGAGCCCCGTGTCGAGCTCTGTGCTGACAGTGTGGAGCCAGCTTGGGATTCTCCCTCTCTCTCTCTGTCCCTCCTCTCTCTCTCTTTCTCAAAATAAACTTAAAAAAAAAAAAGAATATGTTCTCAATTGAGAAACTAAATCTCGGTTTAAATCATCATGTCTGTGTGGTTTGTGTATTGAGCCTGTGTTTTGCCGTCTATGTTTTATGACGCTTTGGTACACGGGGCTGCCCTGACATCACGGGGACTGCGTCCCCCGGGGGTTGACCACGCCGCACCCAACCGCCTGCTTTCTTGGGCGCTCAGCTGCGGGCTCTGTCCCTCCTGCGAACTGCCCGGGGCGGCCCCTGTACCCAGAGCCACGGAAACTGTTCAAACCTGCCCAGCCCCGGAACAGTCAGCGGCTCGCCTTGCCGGCTCAGTCCCCCCATGAAAACCACAGTAAAGGCTCCCCCCCTCTCTCCCCTCACTTCTCCTGCCCCCGACGCGGTGGCCCCGTGGGACCTGCCCTGGCCTCCTGTGTCCAGGAATCTGCAACCCTCAACTTCTTCCTCCGTGATGATCGCTTCGTGCCTGCGCGTCTCACGGTGCCTGCTTCCTGGGTGTCCCCCATCTGCTCATGAGAACGGGCCTCCGTTTTCAGAAGAACGAACAGTTCTTTCAGCCCAGTTGAAAACTAATGAATAAAAAAAGACCAGAAGTCACCTAAAAACAAAACACGGCCAAAGGCAGCAGGAATACACACTCGGACTTTGCGAGGTGCCAGTGTTAAAATCTGCATGGGCGAGAAGTTGCTTCATCAGAGGGGCGTCCGGGACTCAAAGCTGAAGGCGGGATGGATTATGGGGCTCGCAGCCTAAGGTGGACGAGAACGTCTGAAGTCAGCTCCCCAAGGGCTTTGCTAAGAGACCGTGAGACAGCAGCCCCCCAACCGGAAGGCGCGCCCGCCCGCCCCTCATCCGCCCTGTGCCCTCCCGACGTGAGGCCAGCCGCTGGCCGGACGTTGTCTCGTCAGCACAGACGGCACTGCAGGTGTCCCCGAAGCTGCAGGGGACTGGGGGGACCCTGGCTCTGGTTCTCCTGCGCTCCGAGGACGAGGCAGACACCCTTACCCGACGCACAGGCTGCGCTCTGACACTGCTCAGACTTCCTGCCGAAGTGACCGCCCCGTGCAAGGCCCAATCAGAGGGCGGGCTCTTCCACTCGCAAATGGGCCAGTGTTGTGTCCAGAACACGCACTTTCAGGGGATTTAGGGTTGTTTTCTGTGCCTGACACAACTCTGTCGTGGGCACTGTCCCCACGGACCTGGTCCACACAGGGCTTCACTCTCAGCAGGGCCACCAACACTGGACTCTCTAAGTTCAGTGTCTTACTCTGCACATTTGTGACCGGCATTAAGGCGCGTGTGGGGCAGGCTGGCGGCTCTCTGCTGGCGATGCTGTCGGTCACGCTGTCACCTGTGAGGTGTTCTAGATCTTCATCCTGTGTTACAAGGGAAGCAGGCCCCAGAGGGACAGCCCCCGGGCGTGTGGCCTGCAGCCACAGAGATGCAGCTGGCCAGTCCGGAATGTGGGACGCAGTGCGGGACCAGCCAGCATGCCGGAATGGGGAAAGGGGTGCGGCCAGTGTCCATCTAGGTCACGATGGCCAAACGTGCTGTGTGAGCCCTGACCCGAGGCTGTTTCAAGAGAACCTCAGGAAATCACGTCTCTGGGCAGGAAGGGAACACTTTGGCATGGACGGAGCAGTGCCCGTCTCTAGGGAACTTGTGACCTTCCTCGGCGGGTGAAAGTGTCATGATGGTGCAGACGAATGCTCACTTGCAGGAGAAACGGGCTGGAGGGCTCGAGTCAGGAGCCCAGAGTCAACGGCACCTCTGCAAACGCTCAGTGATGTGGGCAGGGGTGTGAGCGCATGTGAGTGTGAGTGTAGGGGCGAGTCTGTGGGAGTGAGGTGGCTGGTGACGAGCAAATGTGACCAAGCCAGTCATCATTGAATCTGGTGTCCGGAACGTGAGTCTTCATCTTATTATTTAAAATCCTTTTCAGTGCATTTAACTACTTTCAGTCTGTGGGAAACGTACTTGACCAAGAAACACGCGCACGAGACGGCTCCAGTTCCCGCAGGAGGGCAAGCCAGAGCGGAAGGCGGATTCGGTTGTGGGAGCCAGACTCCTCGCCCCTCCCGAGTGCTCGCCCATCTGGGAGGCTCTGGGATGGGGCTCACTTCTCCGACTCAGGGTCCTTTCCCTTGACCCGGAGCCGCTAATGCCGGAACGAGGCGGCCCACGGTGTGGCCACCTGGGCTGCTAAATACCCAGGTGGTTCCCGCCCTCATCCCCAGGGTCCACTAGATGTCCCCACCATCCAGTAAGCACCGCGGCGCTGCCCGGCGGCTGAGTCTTCTGCGCGTGGTCCCGCTAACCCCCAGCGCTGCCGGGGGCTGGTCAAGCCAGTGCCTTCCACCGGCGAAGCCCTTAGGACAGAGCCACCGAGAAGCGCTCTGTAAGCGCCTGCTGTTAGTGCTAAGTCTCTCATTTTTCCGGAAGATTGGATGCCCAATCTCTGTTTGTTTTATGTGAAAAGAGTAGGCTGAAGGTTAATGTTGAAGTAATTAAGTTCTTAACTGAAGTGAGTAATTAAATATTAATTGAAAAGAAGAGTAGAAGGTCTGGGAGACGTTTGGGTCTCTGTGCCCCATGCTGACAGGTTACTTGCAAATTCAGGTGGAGAAAGTTCTTGGACACGGGAGCCCGCAGCAAATGAGTGTGCAGGTTAAGCACGGGGGTCCAGGCACGTGCTCCCTGGGGCTGTCGCCGGCCGCCTCAAACCCGGGCACTTAGCTTCTTAGTGATGATGTGGGTGAGAGGCATTAAATTCTCGAGGGAATTTGCAGGGCCCCAGCGGATTTGTGGAGCCCGGACGCCACCCTGGAGGTGGGGTACAGTGGGAGAGACAGCCTGGGGAGTCTGTGCAGCTGGGGAGCCTGGGGGGATCAGTGAGGGCGGGAAGGGAGCCGTGGGGCCCCAGGACAAGGGGTCCCCTTTCAGGCTCATCACTGTGAACTCAACCCTGTAAGGTAAGCGATGAGGAATTTAAACATTGGATTGTAAACTGTGTAGACGCTATCTTGAGGCCTGAGAACTGGCGTGGTGGTAATGGGGGGGGGTGCTCCCTGAGGTCACACCCCACTCGTGCCTGGGCCCACACGTATCTGTCTAACAAGCACTTCACCAACGTCGCTGTGCACCGGGGCGGGCGGGCCACGGGGGAGATACGGAATGTGGGGGGTCTTCGTTCTGCCCGCCCACAGCGCCCCCCAGGAGCGAGAAGAGCAGTCGGCTCCCCGTGTTGCCCCAGGTTAGGTTTCCGGGGACCTCGTGCCCGTGTCCTTCCCCGACGACGACGGCTGTGTGGAGAGCTAACGCCGAGGTGACGGTGTCCGGAGGCGGGGCCCTGGCCGTGGTCAGGCCTCGCGGAGGGGCCTCCTGGGGGATCAGCCCGTGCTTGCTCTCTGCCTGGCGGGGGCACCTCAGCCCCGGGAGGAGGCTTCCCGACACACACGGGCTCTGGGGGCCCCTGGGGGCCCCTGGGTCTCCAGCCTCAGCCTCGGGACCCGGGAGAAATGCCTGTGGGCGAAGGCCCCCGGCGGTGGTTTGCTTGTTACCAGTGGTGCCCCCGCCCACGTGAGCACCTGCTTCTGCCACCGCGCGGACGCCGTGTGCGCGTCGAGCGCGTACTTTCAGGAGGAAGGAGGCTCCGAGAAAAGAGGTGTGCACGTCGCCAGCGTGGGCGCCGGGCTGAGGCTGGCGGTGCTCAGGGCTGGGGCGCTCGGCTGCACGGCCTGTCCCCGCACCCCAGGCCTGAGGACCTGGCCTGTCATACCTGGGACAACAGACATGTGCTTTCTCGAATTCTGGAGGCTGACGTCTGAGGCGGGGTGAGCGCAGGGCTGTGTCCGCGGGAGGTGCTGCAAGCATCTGGCCCCGTCCCTCCCCCAGCTCCTGGTGGCTGCCTTCCCGCCGGGCTGGTCCAGATCCCTCTCTGTAGAAGGACCGCTGGCCCCTCCACCCGGGCCCACGCCGATGCCCTCACGTTAACCTGATGACCTATGCGAAGACCTGTTTCCATCCAACGTCACATTCTGAGGTGCTGGGGGTTAGGACTCCAGCATCTCTGGGCTGGGGGATGGGGAGCGCCTGAGGGTGCTTTGGGGGCCCCGTGACCCCCCAATCCACACCTCATCTCTTAAAGGCGAATTCCACTAACTCATCACTAGATGATGCTAGAGCGTAAGTTTCTTACCCAGGAGAGGCGCTTTACCACTGAATCTTCATAATTGCAGATGTTTGGCAAATTTCAGAAGCATCATTACTGTGTTTCAATGGTATGATTTCACCTCCACGACATTTAACTAGTACACCGTGCCCTTGGGATATACAGAATTTATATAAATTTGGATAAGTTTCAAATATCCTTGGGATTTGTGTTTTATATACAATACACTTTATAAGTGCATGCGCTGACACTGGTTGTCGCCGCGTATCAGGCAGAGCAATCCGCGGTGTGAACCCTCAGGGCCCCCAGCGCGAGCTTACCCAGGAATGTGGCAACAGCCCGGGAGGGAGCGAGGCGGGAGGCTGGTGACTCACAG